AAATATCATATTGACAGACTTTACATGACATTGTATTTATATATAAACGTGCCAATAGGAAAATATAGTTGTGCTGTATCTAAAGCCAAATTTAAGCAACCGTCTCCTTGGTTTTATTATATATCATTTTAGGAATATGAAGTGCGGGCTGATTATCCTTTATTATATTCAACCGTCTTAGACAAAACACATATTTCTATGTCTTTGATTACGTGTCAAATGAAATGATACGAGAATGTTGCTTGGGCAGCGGCGTTTTGGGTTCTCTTCTTCGATTTCCAACTGCCAAGTGTTATTTAACTTGCATGCCAATGTGTACATGGAACGACCTCGGTTTTACTATTCATCCGAACTACTACACACAATTTCCTTGTTAGCCATTCAGTGATTCGAACTTGTGACATTCAAGTCGAGAGTTCCTTGTCCTGAGAGCACAACTACCGCAGTCCCCTCTCTTTTAGGTGGTGGTAAGTCATGTGCCTTGCTCAGGACACCCCATGGATGGCTCAGGACACCCCATGGATGTCTGTCATCCATAACAACTAAAAAGATTTTGTTTATGAGTTTTTGTTGACCCCAGACCCATTGATACTGAACCCTGTTATGTGATATTGTGTGTATAACTCACCCAGGGGCGGATTGAGGCCGGGAACCGGAGCGGCCCCTTTTACTGACCGCGATTTGGTAGCATATCTGATTATAATCTCTGTCAAATAATATACCTCATAAATCGATTAATTTGGGCGAAAACCATCAACCTGTGAAATTATCATATCGTCATATTATTAATTAACGTATTATCATTGTATGGTCAAGAGTCGAGATAATTTAACTGGTTAAATAATGGGACTACATGTAGTTGAAAAAATTTTGACCATTTGATTAACCAGTTAGGAATATTGAATAAGTAGGAATATTTTCATTGAAAAATGTCCCATTTTTGTTGCTAGGAGCGATAGTTAATACCTCCTGTTTAACACCAGCCTCAGGAAATCGCCTCGCACTCATATTCAGCCAGAAGACCAGCTATCATCAAATTTTACTGAGACCTTAAAATTGAATTTTACGAACCATCGGCAGACGTTTCTGGCGTATCCCCACAAACGGGTGCGGGTGACTTAATATTTATTAAATTTGCGGGAGACAGTGTCGGGTGAATCCGATGAAATTTTCGGATGAAATTCGGAATCCCCATTGCAGGATTCCGAATTCCGGACCACACCCAGCACATACGGCCCAGAAAGTATATTATACCAGCCCATTCCAGACTCCAGTGATGGCGTGGCGGCCCATTAAAGCCACCGGCCACATACAACATGATCATCATCGCTCCATGGCCGGTCCAATACCCCCACCCCCATATACTGTTCAGCAGAAAAAGGTTTTTTAGACGATGTTTTTTGTCTGACCGGCCCATCGGGCGATCGTCCGATGTCCAATTTGCCCCTGAACTCACCTTATCCCCGAAATTATATACAAAATAATATGTATTGCGTGTATTTATTCGAAATCTATTATATACTAAACGTCTACTGTTCTGTGAATAATTTTCAGTTACGTGCATAAAACCATAGAGAAATAATCAACAATACAAATAAGGAAATTACAAGGAGTAGGAAATACCAATTGTATTAGAGACATACCTGTTATTTGATACTCATTTAACTCATGTCTATATTTATATATACATGTGTAATGTGATTAAATATAAACTATTTATATGTAATTATTCATGATGCTGCAGACCACCAACTGTCTATCTACGACCGTATAGAGAGGGATAGGTTGATCTATGCTGTGGTTTTTATCTGAAAATATCCATGTTAAACAAAATTTTACATATTATACATGTACATGGATCCCATCCTTTAAACATTATTAGGTGCAGTAGCGCGGAAAGAATTTCCCGTGAAAACGGAAACGAATTACCTTTATCGATATCAATTAATTGTATAATCATGTATGTAGCAAAATAACCAGATACCGCAAGCAAGTGGGCATAATAACCCATCGGTATACAATCCAAAAGTTAAAGAAGGGAATGGCAAGTCCATGTACACTGACATGAAAAAGAATAATAATGCAACCAATAATCTCCTCAAAAAGTAGAGTAAGCCTATCCTGCCTCGTGCTCGACACTCGTTAAATCTAGCCATAGATTTATTTTCTAACTAACGCTAAAATGAATCATGTTGATCAGGAGAAAGTATCTAATTTAGACCTTCACTGCAGATTATCCTTCATTTGAACAAATCAGTATACGACCACCAGCTGCCCCCCCCCCCCCGCCCCACATCACACATCTGCACTATAACCTCAGATACATTTTCGTTCGAAAACAATACCGAATATGTAATATTATGATGATGAGCATTTTTGAATATATGGTCGGTTGAGAATAGCTAGGACTTTTGCTGGTTTCAGGTTCTGTCAATTTAAACTGTTTAGGTTCTGTCAATTTAATCTGTTTTAGGTTCTGTCAAGTTAAACTGTTTTAGGTTCTGTCAAATTAAACTGTTTTAGATTCTGTCGATTTAAACTGTTTTAGATTCTGTCAATTTAACCTCTTTTAGGTTCTGCCAATTTAACCTCTTTTAGGTTCTGCCAATTTAAACCGTTTTTAGGTTCTGTCAATTTAAACCGTTTTAGGTTCTGTCAATTTAAACTGTTAGGTCGTGTCAATTTAAACTGCTTTAGGTCGTGTCAATTTAAACTGCTTTAGGTCGTGTCAATTTAAACTGTTTTAGGTCGTGTCAATTTAAATGGTTTTAGATCGTGCCAATTTAAACTGTTTTAGGTCGTGTCAATTTAAACTGTTTTAGATTCTGTGAATTTAAACTCTTTTAGATTCTTTCAATTTAAAATGTCATTTGTGACAAACGTTTGGGTTGACTATTACTTCAATTTAGTTGCTAGAAATGTACCCCTTGCAGCTGGGCAAATTATACGAAAAATTTTACTAAAAAAAACCGTCTTTCTTCAAAAAGGAAAAAAGAACAAAAGTCTCCCGCGAATCGATGCGTTAACATAAAATTGCTTTATAATTGATATTTCTTTTAAAGGGTCGACGAAAACAAAATTTAATAATGCAGTTTGTCTCGTTATATTCTCTATGGTGGTCTCTTTCTACAAAGTCCTGCATGACCAGTCAACGGGTGCATTGGCTAATTTAACATGAATAAATTAAAATAGTGATGAATGTTAAGTTGCAGCACGCTGAGACTCAAATTTGTAGGCGATCTAGCATTGCTAAACGCAGGGATTAGTATTCTTTACAAAGTGGCTCCCAAGTCTCTGAACAAGAAGATGCAATGGCACTGATGTTGCAAAATAGTAATAATGCTTTGTCGATGAACGTTTCGAAACGCAAAATGTAGGTATATGTATAACTTTTTACCCATGGTAGTTGTGAAGATACCATAACAATATGTCCCGGCTTAGTGACTTGAGTTATACCCAATCGTCGAGCCCAGATAGGCATTAATTTATGTGAAGATCACAGCGAGGCACACTGTTGACTTAATGGAAGCGGGCACGCATCGGAACGTTAAAAAATTAATAAACAAAGAAACTATTTGTCAGTATATGATCAAATGTTGGCTTGTGATAAGCAAGGTATCTATAACAGAACGCTGCGTATGCCTCTTTAATATTAACGCCAGAGTATGTATATGACCACTTTCGTTATTTATATTTACTAAAAATACTGACTGAAAAGTGTTCTTTAGACGATTAAAACAAATAAGATTGGTTAGATAATAGATATTAATAATGTTCATTGTTAGAAATTATTTATCCTTTAGGCGTTTGGTATAAAGAAATTTAGCTGGCCATAATTTTCCTTATAAAATTGGTCGATTGTAATCGTATTCGAAGACTTCGTTTTATTGTGTATGTTTGTTTGTGCCTTTAACTGATCCGGGATCACCAATAAAATCATATTTTAACAACATCAAGCTATAACCTACCCCGGCTGTATTTGGAGTCCATTAAATGGTTTACAGTAATTGACTGAATGAAGTTAATAGTTTAAAAAATAAGTGACCAATCTTCGTTTGAAAATGTCAGGTTAATGAATAAAAGTCTTATAAACAATTCAACATCACTTAAGAATTTGGTAAGTAATTTGCCAGTAGCAATACGATTACTATCTCTTTCTTTGTACCAGTTTTTATTCCTCACCATTACCCATATATAAATAGCTATAATAAATAGTATAGAAAACTTGGATAAAACTTTCTTAAAGAAAAGGATGGTTAAACATTATACATAATATTTTTAAAAAATGAAAGCAAGTCTGTTGGGAGTTTTGATTTTGTTGCAAACACAAGGATTGTAACATGATAATACGAGTCAGGTGGTAATTATATCTATTAAAGTGGATTACGAAAAGTTACAACTGAACTTAAAGACCGAACGTAACGCTTATCCCGATGATACATGTAATTACTGAGGGAATATTTAGTAATGTAGCCAGATGGGTGGGGGCTAAGGGACCCGAACACCAATCCCAGCCTCCTACAATCACCCAAAATCCTGTAAAAAGTTTGTGCCACCCTAAAAAAAATTTAGAAAGTGGGAACCCCTCATCCATATAGCAAATTCTGTCTCCACTACTAGAAATAACAATATTGCGTAATCAGCCCACAGAGATTCCTAAAGTTCGTAATATTGAAAGAATGCAACTTGTGATAATTGCCAATATATTTTCAACTTTTGGATGCTATCAATTACACAAGATCTGTATAGTGTGTTTACCTGGTTGCTGAGACAGGTATCGTTTGTAAAATTCTTTCTCTAACGCACCAAGTAAATATTGGCTTGCACAGTCAGTCTGTGGTTTACACGCGCTCTTTCCTATTTCTTATTAGTCATATTAATAGATTATCCACCCCATGAAATTAGCCAACAAACAAAGTAAACACAATCAAAATCATATCCACCCACAAAAAATAAGTAAGCGTAAAAAAAACACGTCCTTCAACTCGGAAACAGCGACCTTGTTAGGCGGCCCACTACAATCAAATAAAATCCATCAACGCTTTTCAGTAGGTTTTATTTTCGACCTTGACTTCTGCCAACATGGCTGCCACACGAGTCGTCTGCTATATTTTGTTGATTACCTTAGTGGCTGTTTCGGAAGGTAAGCTTTAAATTTTTAAAAATATTTATCGTAAATATGTAAGGTTTCTAGATTGTGACTTTTTTATTCATATTTCACGAAAAACAATTTTGTACTGCATATTTTATCGGAGTTTTTCATTCGCACGTTAAAGATACCGGCAAATCGTGTGTCTACCGGTATAAAGGCCTACTACTATACATGGCTATTTACCTACGACTGGTAGTGGTTTACGCTGTGTAGAATTGAGTTATGCTAGAATTAGTAAATGTAATTGCTATATTACAACTTCCTTAGGTTACTAAGTATGATCTTTTTTCAAGAAAGCTAAAAAAAGATTTGATCGAAGGAAAGGTGCAGTTTGAACACGTGTATATAGGCCGGCATGTTTAATATTTAATGTATTACATACGTTTATATTATAGAATCGATTTTAACAGCAAAGAAAATAGGTGTAGGCAAAAAAATCAATCAGATGTTATAAACTTTACGTATATTATATATATATAGTATCAGTCTTTTACCTACTATATTTAATTTGGTTCATAAGTATGAGCCAACATTGAAGGGGCTCGTTTTGGTTCTGTAGGAGAGAAATGACATTAAAGGGGTTCGTTTATTTAGGAATAAAGACTGTTCTTTAATTGCAACACTGCGCAATGACTTTAAGCAGATTTACTGCAGTTGTTTAGTCTACTTGTCTAGCAATAATGATGAGTCTATTGTGCAGAATTGGGGTGCACGTTTATCGACTATTAATGCTAGGCGATTATGTTGTTATCCAGTCGTGTACACAAGAGGGACGTATTGTTCCTTGTCCGCAATCAGTTGGACGTTGACAATATATTACTATTCCCTGCTTAAATGCCCCCAGTGTTGATTTTATTCGTTTAAATCAGTTTTTATTGAATCGTATGGGTTTAAAATATAATGTAACAGTGCTATACGTCACGAATTGTCATTTGTTGTTCGCCAAGAGGCGTATCTATAAATTATTATGAATAACAGTTAACAGATTAGTTTAGTTTATCTCTAAATTTTATATATTAATTCTGGATAAAATTCACATTCGATTCCCACAGGCGTTATATGTTAATATATGAATATGCAATTAAAACTAATAGATTTATAATTAGCTGTATGCATCATATAATTGACAAGTGGTACATATAGATATTGTATATCAAGTCCGTGACAGATGTTTGTCCTGATTTCAATGTCCTGTTTAATAGTGACTGGATATGTTTGGGAAGTAAGCTTTAAATGACTTAGATAAGTGATGCCAATTTCGTGAAGTAATTGTAAATGAATTGAATATGATGTCATTAATTTTTAAAATAATTGTCAGTGAGCAAACCATAATTTCAAAAAGGACAAGACCCGCCTAAAGGTTCTCAAGTCGATAAATAATCAAAATAAACTAGATTAAAGTGCTTAATACCAATGATCTGAGGTTACCTTGACACCCATTATTATTAGTTTCAAATAGCAAGTTACATCTCATCGGCCATCTGTAGGCTTGTATCTTTATTTTGTTAAAATGTCATTTCGGTACAGTTTCAATAAACGACAAACCTGGTATTGATTAACTAAGTTTGCAGCTCAATGAAAAACTGCCAAGTTAAAACTTCATCATAGCTTTCCAGTGAAATTCCACTTTAACATTTAAATTTTCCCATTACTATCATAAAATATAAAAACAAGTGTTGTACCATATAAACATGTTGTCATTTCTCAAATGAAAGAGCGTGAAAAATTGTGTGTAGTTTCGGTTTGCTATTAGTGGTAGTGTAGGTAAAGTCTGTAATGAATGAATGAATGAATGGTGAAAAGAGGTCATACGAGGTCTGCAACTGTTAGACCCATAACACACACGGACACACAACTGTTTCAATAGAAGTTCTATTGACCCGATCCTCTTTCTTCAAACAAAATCTTTGTGTCAGTGTATTTTACTACAAGATTTACTTCTGTTTGTTAGATGTTTATCCTCATCAATAACAAGCTTACTGAATGTAGTATTTATACCTTTTATATTATGAGTTTGGGAGGGATAGATAAACCGTCGGTGAGCCTTTAACTTGAACTCTGTAGAGAAAAAAGGGAATGGACAATCGAATCTTATCCTTTTAGTTCTATATCCCCTCTTTGAGGATTAATTAAACTTTGGCCAATTTCTTATTATACAGATAGTAGTAGTTAATTTCGAGGTGACTATTCTATATTCGAGGTTGAATATATCTTCCAAACATGTAGGTAACGCCGGACTCGGAGTACGAAATTTCCGTTTTAGTATATTTTACGAGATTTAATAATGCTAGGTTAACTGGCCCAGCTCCTATACTACTAAAAGGTTCTAGTTTGTTGGCCATTACCCCAATGTTATCTTCTGTGTATCTCAGACTTCTTATAACCAAGTTTAAACCTCCGCGTAATCTCCCACTCTGTCGGTGATACTGTGTCTTTTCGGGCCTAACGTGCGGCAGGTTCGGAATCCATTACCGGAATACCTGGACAAAACAAACGAGGCTGGACAGGCGACTCCACTTCTTGCCATGTGCAGCCCAGAGATCGAATACCGACCTTATAGCCCACAACTGCTGCTATAGGTTACTATCTATATTGGGCGATTTCCTACTAATTACGTATTACACTGGATTACACGAAATAGAGTAAAGTTACAACTGATTACAGATTACATTACAACTTAATCTGTTGATCATAATGATAATGTTAATATTTACTGTCACTGTTTCTGCGCTTCTCACAATGCTCTGTCAACTGTTTTCTATCACGTTTGGCGTTTCACTGTCTGTATGGCAAGGGTACTGCATTGGACTACCAACTTCACCAACGGCATGCGTATTAATTCGGGGTGAAATTTGATTAAACTTGATGAATAGGTGCATTAATCTCCCAGTTGAAGAGTGATTGGAATATGAATAACTTGCATTTGGTCTCATAATCTGTTCACAAGAAAAATAGAACAACACAATACATATTTTCAGAATAAACAAATGATATTGATCGCTTTTACATGTAGTTTAAAAAGATATTCTTGTATATTTTGATTGACTCGCTAACCTGGAGGTCCCGTGGTCAATCCAAGTGATGGCCAAGACGTCGTTCGCATAGGACGAAACATTGAGGCCCCGCGTACACATTGACGTGTAGTGCCGATGTCCAGGCAAATTGGCCCGCATAGCACACTGTATGGCGTATACCCGTTTTCATTATCCCAGTCGGAGCAGAACAGTAGGACGTTAAACCCTATTTCATTTTTCGGAAAAGTGACTTTTCCATTTAAAATTTTGTTATAGAAATTCGTCTACAGGATAGTATAATTTGATTACAAGGTTCGGGTAGTAATATGACATCAAGCATGAATGTTTCCTAATTTATTCGTTTTAGTCAATGGGTGCTCATTTAACCAAATGTAACCCTTTGATCTCATAATTAAATTTGATCATATTTTCCGGTATACCCAACATTCAAGATATCCTTTAATATGGTCTATCAATTTTCATATGAAAGCATATTTAACGCTAAAATACACGAAGAATTGGATATAAAGTAAATGATTCTATTTTTGTAGCAATACACTAATAAACCCCCAAATTCTTGTATAATAATACATTTAAACTATGACTCAATGAATTTGGGTTGTTATTATTAAACGAGTGGACTTTTTATCTTTTTATCCCCATTGTTACAGTATAGCTAGCCTTTATCAGATAGATTTTAAAATAAGGTCACGTCGCTAGTTGCCTATGATTATTTATAAAACTAGCCTATATATTGATAAGGTTATGTAAAATATGAAAGAAAAAAGATAAAATATACCGATAACAATGGGTGAAATCACATCCGTTATTGTTGATCATCTCCTGACACAAATATACACAAAAGTTATTTGGTTCATTTGATATAATTATTCCCATTATAAAACTATTGGACACACTTGTAAATGAAATAGCGTGTTTTATGATATTTATTAGATCATAGGTTTTGTAAGCTAAAGCTAAAGAATAAGCTTATATTTTTGTACATAATGGACTAATCGCAACCAGGAACCGTTTTATGAAATTGCGCCCTTACGAGGCAGGGTATTATTATTATTGTATACTAGACATAGTTATAGTAGCACATATCTTCAGATTAATGATGTGATTCTGGACGGTCTATATAAAATACGTCTTCCCGACACTTGCTTTCAGGTCCTTTATTTACTGGATAATCTGATTCCTGACCCGAACACAAGAATTTCACTAAACGACAGCCTGATCTGCAAAACGAGAGAGACCAATAATTTAGGTCGTGAAGACCGTTGTACACCAACCAGTCCTAGAAGTGTTCAATAAGGGATAGTTGGATTTGTGATACGCATCTGATTGATCACAACCAACTGACGACATCGCCATTTGATATGCCAAGAACTTTTTACTAGACCAAAAGTTTCCTCGATTTACTTGCACAGCGGTGGTCTCGAAATACTTATATTTTTCATGATCCATAAATCAGAAACCAAATGGAAGACATTTGGTGTATATTAATCAGCCCCTGATTTATCTTTATCATAATTACTGGTATATCTATTTTATTACATGCCATACATGTGTTATATCTACAATTTACAATGTTCGTGCAGATCTGTTCATTACTCTTGACTAATTTTGACGTGTACGTGATGAAACCAGAATCATCTCAGATTGGTTCGATATTGACTCAAAAAACTGATATTCATTTCTTCTCCTATTGTCAAGAGTAAGAAGATTGTTTTAAAACCTATCTTGATAGTTATAGTCAAGTAAGGATTTTGTTAAAACCGCAATGAGTCAGAAGACAAATAAGGAATCATTTTCCTTTTTTAAATTTAACAAAGAAATAAACATTATCTTCTTTGATACACAATTACTGAGTTTAATACTAAGCGACGTTTCGACGAGGATACTCTCGTCTTTATCAATCAAATGATACAGGTATGTGAATAGTAGGCAAATATATACAGAATATGCAACAAA